AGCAGAAAATATGCACCTGGGTCAACAATTCATGGGAAAGGCACTGAGCCGCAAAGGAGAGTCCCGACCCCACTCTGAATGGGGAGGGAGGGAGGTGACGAAAGGCGCCAGGTGGGGTGGAAGCTGAGCCCTGGTGCTTCTCCTTCCCAGCTCCCTGTCCAGGTGCCTTTTTGGTCCTGGCTGCAACTTCATGGTTTGATGAAACTAAATTATCCTGGTCCCAGTTGAACGGACCCCAGTGCGAGCAGAGGGCATGGCCACCCGGAGGCTCCCTTCCTACCTTTCTCTCACCCTGGACCGTGACCGTGGCCTGTATGAATCGTCTCCCTCACCCTCGGGCTTTATCTTTTCTCCCCAGTGATGGGGCTGCTCAGCCACTTCCTGGCTGCACGACCAGAGTGACAGTCAGGCCCTTGGGGATGTCTTCGGTGCACCAGGGACAGTAACACCACCCGTCTCCTGGGGTGGTGGGGAGGCTGGCCTAGGACCGGGCAGCAAGGCACGGGGCACAGTTAGGCATGTGGCACAAGGATACTCGGTGGACAGTGACTGAGAACTCTCGGGGTGTATCCGATCGAGGTTCGAATCCTGGCTGCTGCCTCTATGATACTGTCCCCCAGCCGGTGCCTAATCTGAGCCTGCTTCCTGCCTGGGATAAACAGTCCCTCCTCCCAGGGCCGGAGGGATGGTGCCAGGAGATGCTGAGCATCTAGGGCACACAGGTACCCAATGAACAGCTGCAGCCCTGCCCCAGTCCCACAGCCAGGAAAGGGTGGGGTCAGGATGGAACGCACCGCTAAGTCCGAACAGCTCATGTTTTTGCAAATGCGTCCCATGAGTCAGGACCTGTGCCACCTCCTTGCTGAGCCCTCCCGGCCTGCTCGCTCAGTGGGGTGGCTGTTATAAGGGCCTGGGGTGTACAGATAAGGTCCCGGCACTTGTCGGGTGGGCGACTTTGGCTGCGTTCCTCCCCTGGGCTTCCGTCACCAAATCTGCAAGTTTATTGAGAAGAAGCACTGAGTGGATCCCCGGGAGCACGAGACTAAGTATGCAGTGGGCGCTAAATTATTGCAGCTGTTAGGACCTTTTCCCCCATTTTACAAAAGTGGAAACTGGGACTCCAGGTAAGGTCAGAGCTTCTCGGGTCAGACCAAGAAAATGTTTGCAAATGGAGACAAACATACCTTGAATTAAACGCCTACAAACTACATGTTAATTTCTCAATTCCTCTCTAGTGTACAGATGACGCTGAAAGTGTCATTTTAGGAGTTGAAGTGAGCAGGGTACGTCCTCTGGACATCTCGTCTTGTCCTGGGCAAAGACAGCTTAAGCAGTTCCCTAGAGAGGGACGGGAACCGCAGCCCAGAGAGGGTCAGCTTCCTGCCCAGAGTCACACAGCTCTGGGGCTCCAAGAATCTCGAGTCTCTACCTACCGGAGTTTGAATGTGCGTGAGGCCACCCCAGCTCCAGTGCTGACCCCTGGCTGCCTCCTCCTTCTGACTTCTCAGGAAAAAAATAAAAACATGGCAGGAAGCATCCATCACAGGCTGTCCAACTGGGCCGGAGGGGCAGGGGTCAGCAAGGAGGTGACCTCGAGGTCTCCGTGGGGACCAGGATCCGGTGGGGCTAGGGGCGAGAGGCTGGAATTTTTCCCACCCTGATATTTTCCTGCATCAACCCAGGAGGGCGCCCTGGATGCCGCTGGCCCTGCCCCCAACCTCCTTCCTCTCCTGACACAGCTTCCCGGCTAAGGATGGATGGGGGGGTGGGGGGCAGGCCATGGTGGAAGTGCCAGGCCCAGGAAAGGAGAGGCACTTGGAGATCGACAGAGCAAGGGCCCTTGGCTCCAAGTGGCCAAGGACCGGCCATGGAGTCACGCAACCCTCCTTCGGACCCCACCTGACCACCAGGTGCAAACGGGGTGGCCCTGCTGTTCCTGGCTGCGGGGCCTCAGTCAGTCTCCACTGCGCTGCCCAAGAGTTGGACCCCAGCCCGGCCTTGGGCGTGTGAGGAGCCCTTGGCCCTGGGCCCTGCCCCGGTCCTTCCTCCCCCCACACACTGGGGACTCGGCCCTTCCTTCTGTTAAATAGAAACCTCTTTATTCTAAGTATCGTACATTCCTTAATACATTGGATTGGGGCCAGACCTTGAGGTGAGGGGAAAGGGGGGGGCCTGGGATATTTCTGTAGAGCCTTCCAACGCCACCCGCGGCAGACTGCGTTGGGGAGGTGGTGCTGGGAACAAGTGTCCTGGCCTTGACAAAGTCCTTGACCCTCTGGCCCGTTTTTTCTTCTGCACAGGGAGTTTGGGGGGGTAGCTGGGAAGACCTCTGCGCGTTTCTCCATCTCGGGGGTCCGTGGCCCCAGGCAGGCAGTCAGGAGGACTGTGTGTCAGCAGCAAAGATGGGGGGCACTGAGGCGGAGGGCTGGGAGGTCTCAGCATTGGGCCCGAGGCCGTGATGGAGATGGAGGCCGAAGCCGGGGGAGACAGGCCAAGCTGGGCCTGGCCAGCTGGGAGAGGGGGAGGCGGCCCAGGAAGAGAGGGAGGCCCAGGCAGAAAGGCGGGCGGGGCACAGGGATGTCCGCGAAGAAGGCACGGTCCCGAGGGGGTGACAGGGCTTTCCCCTCAGACAGTTCCAGGTCCCGGGCCACCGCCAGGATCTCGTGGCGGGCGGCCGTGTTGCGCAGGCCCCGGATGTCCAGGAGGGCCGCTACGTGCTTCCGCCTGGAAGGAGAAGAAGGGGTGGGTACCTGGGGGTTCTGGGCTCCAGACACACAGCCAGCTCACCTGTGGACCCCACCTGGCCAGCATCCATCCCAGAAGCCGCCTTCGCTCTGGAGTCCCTTGGTCCCCTCCAGACCCCCTCTTGCACCAGGCCACCCGCCCCCCACCCTTCCCCTACGCCAGCCCCCTTCCAGGACAACTCTTCCAACCATTTCCGAATCTCCCCCCATCCACGATGGGTTCCAGAACCTTCGCCTCCAAACCCAGCACAGGAATCTTCCTTCCCACCCCCGTCTCAGCTCCTGATTAAAATAACCTTCAATCTTCAGCCTCGACTTAGCTCAGACAGCTCTTAGCTTTCCCTCCTGGCGCCCTCACATCTGTTTAAGCTCTGGCACCAATCGCAACACTCAACTTCATCTTCGCTTTCGTCTGGAGCAGTGTGATTTTCAAGTGTGGTGCTCGGCCGCCGTCACCCAGAAGCGCCCACCCGCGCTCCCGGCGGCACCCTCACCACTGCAGCTCCAGAGGCCTCGTCCAAAACTCGACTCCAGATCTCTCTACCTAGACCCCATTCTAGAGCCTTCATCCCCGAATTCAGCCTTGCAACCCTCGTTCACTTCGCCCCCCTACCCATTCCCAGAATCGTGCTCAACCAAAATTCCACTCTGGAATTAGAATTCACTTTGGGGACCCTCTTTCTAACCAGAAATGTCACATTTGAACCCAACTCTACACCCATCACCCCCAAAATCTGATACGATGGAACCTTCCCCTTCACCCCCACCTCATTTCCAGGTTGCGGATCTAAAACTCAACTCCAGAATCACCACCATTCAAGATCCTGAACCCAATATTCGTTTCCAGAACTTTCATTTCAGACAGAGCTTTGGGGCCTTCACTGCTCCCCTCGGCCCAGCTCAGGGCCTACACCTCCCCACATCTCAGGCTTGGGATCCCCATAGCTCCAAAACGCTTGTCCAAAATGAGGCTCAAGAACCTTCCTGTTCAGCATTTTTATTTTAATGTATTTGTATTTTAACGTAGCAGGCATCTAAAAATGTGGAATTTAAAACTACAGTATCTTAGAACTATAAATCAGTTTTTAGTATTTGGAGAGAAATACATTCTCTTCATGATAGAAAAGCAGTTATTTTTATAAGTAATGCTCACTCAAGTTTTGATTCCAACATAAAAAAAAACTTGGAATTTTATGAGGAGGAACGTTTTAAATCTTTTAAACTGTTTTAATCTACTGTCGTATGGAAAAAATAGAATAAGTGGACTTATTAATTTAACCTTGATTGATGATGTTTAATTTTTTCACAGGGATTCACAGCTTTGGAACCGCTCCTCCCTGCCCAGTGAGACCTCTCAAGTTGAGCTTCATATTCAAGTTCAGAGTCAAGGTCAGAAATCCTAATCCAGCAAAATGCTGGACTCCCACCCCCGTGGGACTCCGGGGCTATGTGCCTTCCCAAGAACATGGGCGCCACCCCCCAGAATCAGAACCGTCCATCCCGAATCAGTTCTAGGATCCTCACCCTCAACTCTGGGACCTAAACCCCGATGCTCCGTTGATATGAGGCTTTGTGTCTCTGTGGGGAGAATGAGTTTGCCTGAATAATACTGCCACCTGTCACTGCCATCCAACATTTACAGGTGGCAGTGTGGTGTGATGGTCCGGCGTGCCAACTTTAGAGACAGCTTGCCCCCTGGGGTTCGGGTCTCGGCTTTGCCACTTGCTAGCTGTGACATTTGGGGTAACTACTTGTTCTCTGCCGGACTCAGGTGGCGCCAGGCATTTAGAGCCGTGCCGCCTGTCACCTGCAGAGCAAGCACACGAGATGCTTTTCTGGGTCCGACATAAGAACTGCTATTGTTCCTGTTGTCACCACTGACGAGGACAATTTCATAATCCTCTGAGAAGAGTACTGTTATCCCCATGGAACAGATGAGGAAACTGAGGGTCAGGGAGGGCCACGGAGACAGGAAGTGGCCCACCAGGATCTGAACGCGCGCCCGCCCCGGTGGCAGTGCGTGTGTGCCCGTGTGCCCATGCGTGTCCCCCTGTCCCCCGCGGCTCCCCCGCTGGGCCGGCCCTTCCT